TTTTATATAAAACTTTCGATATATTCATGATTTATAGAAATGCTCGATTTAGAAAAAATATTTTATTAAATATATCTTCAGTTAATAAAATTCTAGTAAGAACTTGGTAATGACTTGCACTTACTCAACAACTTACTTTTTAATGACTACATCATACCATTTGTATTACTTTGAAGTAGACTAGTAATGACTTACATATTATTTGATATAAAAGTATTAGTTTAGAGCTGATTTTCATGTTATGTGATTGCGCGTTTTGCAACTGTTTTTTTAACAACTTATTTAACTGCTTATTTGTAAGCGTGCGTGGTAAGAACTTACTTAACTCCCTATTTGTAAGCGAGCATGACATCTTTGCGTTGAAATATTGATTTTCAATATGCTTTTGCTGGGATATATTCGATTTTTAGAAACATTTATTGAAATACTTTACTTATAAAAAAGATTGCAAAATTCTGCATAGTTTATCAAATTGTTAATCCATCCTCAATTTATAAAAATTTAAAAATAATATTAATTTATTTTTGTCCAAATATTGAATCTGTTATATGACTAATTCGGAAGTTCTCTCATACATACTTAAATTTTTAACTCAGAAGGTTTTTTGGTCCATATTATAGTTTTATTTTAAACAATTTTAACACCATAAATAAGTCTTTAAAAAATAAATTTAAAATAGAAACAACTTAAGGTTACCCATTAAAAAGTGTTAAAAATTAATCTATATAAAACAAACATAACAAATAAAATACAAAAAAAAAAAATAACATAATTTATAATATAATAAATTTGAAATCAATTAATTAGTATTCATGGCACGAACTATAAAATCTAAGAACAAGTGTTTAAGTGGTTAGTTAGTTCACAATGACTTTAACAGATCATTTGTTTAGAGACGGCGTTTATATAAATTTATTATGTATTATAACATTCCATGCTTTTGTTAAAATAATAGCTAATTTTTATTTAAATTAGAATAATTTTGGCAATACAAGTTTAAACAAATGGTGTGTACTTTGTTAGAGAATTCTATGGACAATATTTTGGAAAAGAAAAATAATAATTTAATACTTAAAATGCGCATTTATCCATTATTTATGCTTCCAATATTCAATCTTTTAAGATTTCTTATTATAATTTTTAATTAAAATTAAAAATATCAATTATATTTTTCTTTTTAATTTGCAATCTTTTGACACTTTGTTCATTTTGTAATATATTTTTTAATCAGATTATATCCAACTTAAATCTAATTTGACAAAAAATATGTTTTTTTAATATCATATCTTTAGTTTAAGGCGTTTTATTCTAATTATTATTTAAATTTATTTTGTAAAAATATACAAGCTTAACTATGACTGCATAAACACCTCTCAGAAAATTTGACCTATTAAGTCGGCCTACAACTTTGATATTACATTTAATAACATTAATTCAGAACTATAATGAAATTACAGAAAAAATTTAATTTTATTTTAAATTTAAAAACAAGTAAGAAGTTATAGTCGGGCGATGCCGACCATTTAATACCCTACACCCGTTACAAAATTAAAATGTGATTTAGTTTTCATTTTAAAGCATTTAAGTTGAATTGTACCATGTCCCAGATGTACTTAAGCCATTTATTGTTGAATAAAATTGTGGATATTTAAGTTAAATTTTGAAGAGGGCTTTGTATATGGGCTATGGTCAAATGAGACCCTATAATTATAAAATTCATGAGAATCATAAAGGCTAGTATAGAACTTGGTTTTCCAGCTTTTTGTCGAGATACGAGTATATTAAACATAATAATGAACTTAAGAGCCTTATTCGGCGGGTTCAGTTGTATGAGGGCTAAGTGAAAAAATGGACCGATGTTAATCATTTTCAATAGGCTTCGTCCCCGGTAACATAGAAGATCATGTGCCAAATTTCATTTAATTATCTTCAAAATTGCTACCTGTAGTTTGATTACAAGGTTTACATGGACGGACGGACAGACGGACGGACATAGTTAAATCGACTCAGAAAATGATTCTAAGCCGATTGGTATACTTTTAGGATGGTATAGGGCCATCAAAGCATATCTTGTACAAAACGGGATCTTATATGAGGGTAAGGGTCATATCGACCGTTCCTCATAAAATTTGGTAGAGAGATTTTGGTTCCTATTAAACTTGTTTTTGATGAATTTTATCATTTTACTGGTATTAGTAAGGCCGTTATGACTTTTTAAGCGGATAGTCTGAGGCGGGCACTTGTATGGGGGTTAGGTGAAATCGTTGACCGATACTGGCCATTTTTAATGTTAACCAACCTGGATCAATAGGAAATAGTCCTTTAGCTCTTTACGGTCGGACGCTAGATAGACAGAAAAACAGACGGACAGACATGACTAGATCGTCTTAGAATCGAATATGGACCTAGAATATATATTCATACTTTTGCGAGTTTTAAGCCAATATTTCGATGTATTCACAAGATCAAGTTCTTAACTTAATTAAAGTTAAAAGCATTAAAAAGATTTTCAATTCTATTTTTTTTAACTTAATTATTTGAATAAACAATTTTGAATTTTTATTTTAAATCTACATAATAACAATTAAATTGCGCCAGTATGCAATTTATTTTTAATGTAACATGAGAAAAACAAATATTGTCGTCACAAAATCAGCTCGTGTGACCAAGTTTTTTTTTTTGTTATGATCAGTGATTTTTAATTGAAAATTATACATATTAATTAACCAAATAAACGTAAAATTTAAAACAGTAGAAAAAAATCATACAGATTTGTTTTAAAATATACGAAATTCCCGGGATAATATTATAATAATTTGTTAAGTTCGTGAACTTGTTTTTCGTTTCTGTAACTAATATATTTACCTTGAATTAAGCATTACACGAAATTTTAATTACTTTGAGTAAATTATTGTAAACTGTCAAATTTCACTAATTATTTTGTAAATTTTTGTTAAGAATTAATTAAAACCTAGACTATACTATAGACTAAACTATAGACTAGACTATACTATAGACAAGACTTATAGACTAGACTATAGACTAGACTATAGACTAGACTACAGACTAGACTATAGACTAGACTATAGACTAGACTATAGACTAGACTATAGACTAGACTATAGACTAGACTATAGACTAGACTATGGACTAGACTAGACTACAGACTAGACTATAGACTAGACTATAGACTAGACTAGATAGACTATAGACTAATAGACTAGACTATAGACTAGACTATGACTAGACTAAGACTAGACATAGACTAGACTATAGACTAGACTATAGACTAGACTATAGGACTAGACTATAGACTAGACTATAGACTAGACTATAGACTAGGACTATAGACTAGACTATAGACTAGACTATAGACTAGACTATAGACTAGACTATAGACTAGACTATAGACTAGACTATAGACTAGACTATAGACTAGACTATAGACTAGACTATAGACTAGACTATAGACTAGACTATAGACTAGACTATAGACTAGACTATAGACTAGACTATAGACTAGACTATAGACTAGACTATAGACTAGACTAGACTAGACTATAGACTAGACTATAGACTAGACTATAGACTAGACTATAGACTAGACTATAGACTAGACTATAGACTAGACTATAGACTAGACTATAGACTAGACTATAGACTAGACTATAGACTAGACTATAGACTAGACTATAGACTAGACTATAGACTAGACTATAGACTAGACTATAGACTAGACTATAGACTAGACTATAGACTAGACTATAGACTAGACTATAGACTAGACTATAGACTAGACTATAGACTAGACTATAGACTAGACTATAGACTAGACTATAGACTAGACTATAGACTAGACTATAGACTAGACTATAGACTAGACTATAGACTAGACTATAGACTAGACTATAGACTAGACTATAGACTAGACTATAGACTAGACTATAGACTAGACTATAGACTAGACTATAGACTAGACTATAGACTAGACTATAGACTAGACTATAGACTAGACTATAGACTAGACTATAGACTAGACTATAGACTAGACTATAGACTAGACTATAGACTAGACTATAGACTAGACTATAGACTAGACTATAGACTAGACTATAGACTAGACTATAGACTAGACTATAGACTAGACTATAGACTAGACTATAGACTAGACTATAGACTAGACTATAGACTAGACTATAGACTAGACTATAGACTAGACTATAGACTAGACTATAGACTAGACTATAGACTAGACTATAGACTAGACTATAGACTAGACTATAGACTAGACTATAGACTAGACTATAGACTAGACTATAGACTAGACTATAGACTAGACTATAGACTAGACTAGACTAGACTATAGACTAGACTATAGACTAGACTATAGACTAGATTTCGACAACGAATTGTTGCAATGTTGTCAACATTACATAGTGTTGTCGTACGTATGTATATACTTTGACAAAGGATGTTATTGAAAAATTATAAACAGTTTGGTGTCAATTTGGTACCAGGCGTGTATATTTCTTTATTTCTCTATGTAGGAACATAACTAACTCTAATAATAAATAATTTAGTTAAAATTTATCATCAATAGGACACTTTTCAAAATAAATATTTAAATTATATTTCAAGGCCAAATGAACATTTTAAACCATTTTTTGACAGTAATCAATTTTTTTAGTCAAGGGGTCTAATAAAAAACTCTTTCACATACAAAAAAAACAACATGAAACTTAATAAAATAATTTAAATAACAAGAGTTGTGTTGTGGCAACTAAAATAAATTTTATTTAAATTTAAAGAGATGCTGAGCCGTTTAAAACTGTTTTTTAATAAAAGCTTCCGTTTCCGTTATTTGAATTTAAAAATTTTTTATATATTATTTCATTTTGCATTTTTAGGCAAAATAAAAAGAATTTTTTTGTAGTTAATAAATATTTTTTAACCAATAATAATTTAAACAAAATAAAAAACAAAACACTTTAATTACCTACAATTTTCTAGCAAGTATGTGTGTTGTATAGTTGAACGGTGGTAATTTTCTATGAATTAAATGCAACTTTGTCTTAAGACTAGATCAAGCCAGTTTTAACCAAAATTGTATGTTTCTTTAAAGTCTTTTACTTTTCTTGTTGTTGATGTTGTTATAGCCTTTGTTGTTGTTGTTGTTGTTGCTGCCTGCTTTTAAGTTGTTAAGATTAAATTAACAGTTTCTTTTTTTTTATATTTTTTGCACAATTGATGTCAAAATTTTTCTTGCAACTTTTTTTTTTTGTAAAAATTTATTTGAAATCTCTATGCAATTTTTCTATTAGCACTTTGTCTTCTTCTTTAAGATAAAAAAATTAGTTAGTTAGTAAGTAATTTCTAATGACGTTTATTGGACAGTTATTAACAAGTTTGTTATTTATTTTGATTTTTAGCAACTAATATTTTTATTTAAATTTTTTTTTTCACTTTTTTCTAAAATATTTGTTGAATTTTTTTTTTTAATTTTTTGTATATTTTTTACACTTGATATTTAATTTACTTTTAAACGTTTTGCTCTTTTTCAACACTAATGTTTATATTTTTTTATGTTAATAAACGTTATTATTTTTTCAATATTTTATAAAATTTTTTATTTATCACTTTGTAATGCACGTATTGACCGTGCGTTAACGACTAAATCTCTATACGGTCTGCGCCATCAGTTTTAAGCTCTGTATAAAACTCGCAAAAATATCAACAATAGCAATAACAACAGCAACAACTAAACGCAAAAATATAATACAAAAACAACAGTAGTAATAAATCTGTAGTTAGTTTTAGTATTTATGTTACTTATTTAATGTATGAGCAGTTACTTTTTTTTATTTAATGTATTTAGATACGAGTCAAATAGTAACATCAGTCAAACAGTAGTAGTTTCTCACCACTAACACCACCACCATCAACAGCACTGCTCAGCGATGATGACAGCCAGCAGCAGCAAGTAGTAGCTGTGTATCAAATCTCAGATTTTGACTTAATAGTAGAGTAGTTTTAGAGCTTAATTTTTCTGTTGGTACCCTACAGTGCATAGTCTCAGGTTGTTCGAAATAGTCATTCTATAATTTCCAGAAAAAGATCCAATAGTAGACTGGTTTGGTGTAAGACCCACAGGAAAGAATGTATAACAGGAACTTAGGGAAGGTTTGAGTAGAATATCTAAAAGAATTCAAGAATGGACTGGTTCTAGAGGAAATCTAACAGAAACCGGAAACTATTTAAAGACCTTTTAATAGAGAACATCTTCTGATAGAAACATAGCAGGATCGAAGAATGGACTGGTTCTATTGATAGAGAAAATCTTTGGACAGAAAAAGGAAAATCCCTTCTGCAAAAACTTCTTAAGAAAAAATATCTAAAAGGATTCAAAAAATGGTCTGGTTCTATCGGAAGAAACATGAAGGTCTGAAGAAAACATCTAAAATGATCCATTAACATATTCTGATAGAAACATAGCAGGATCAAAGAACGGACTAGTTCTGTTGACAGAGAAAATCTTGGACAAAAACTTCTTAAGAAAAAATATGTGAAAGGATCTAGAAATGATCTGGTTCTATCGTAAGAAACACGAAGGTCAGAAGAAAACATCTAAAATGATCCAGTAATTGACTAGTTCTATCGGAAGACTTTCAGGCATTTGAAAGAAAGAATGTGGACTAATTCTTTCAAGAACATCTAACAGATGGGTATGACGGCTGGGTGAATAAACCAGAAAGCTCTAGTTATTGGAAGGCGAACATAAAAGTCTGCTTACTTGATCCAAGAATGGACTGATCTTGTAGAAAAACTTCTTATAGCAACATCTAGTAGGAGGAATTGTACAATATAGTAAAAAAAAGTTTAGTCGGGTGTTGACGAAAAACAAATTTTTTGAAAAATGCTTTATAGGGTTGTTAGGGGCATATTTGGACCCTACAATTTCGGACGGTTTTATATTTAGCTACAGTTTCTTTGTCCTAAATTCCATCGCGATATTAGTATTAATAAATGAATTCTTGACATTTACGTCATTTTTTGAAGGGGGCTTTGAATGGGAGACAGGGTCAAATGAGACCCAATCATAACTACATTCGGCACAGATACAAATGTACTTAACATAATTATGAGCTTAATACCCCATGAATGTTAAAGTACTTCATGTAAAATTTAAAGATTCTAGCTCTAATAGTTTCTCAGATTTACGAAATTTTCTATTTAATTCATTTGGGGGCTTCAAGCCCCCCGGATAAAAGTCCGCCCTTTTTCTCCAAAATGTTCAGATGAATATTAAAGTAATTTGTGCAAAATTTGAAGAATCTAGTTCTATTAGAACTAGATGAAAGTCTTCTCTTTTTTAAAGTTCTTTGAAGAATTTAGTTGTATTAGTTTCGCAAATTTGTATTTAATTAATATGGGAAGTGCCGCTCCCCTCATATAGGTAGTCCTCCAATTATTTCCCAAAATGTTTACATGGATGTTAAAGCTATTCGTGCAAAATTTTAAGATTCTAAGCGTACTAGTTTCCAAGATAAACGAATTTTTGTATTTAATTTATATGGGAGGTGCCACGCCCCCTAATGCTAGTCCTCCCACTTTTTGTCCTAAATAATCATATTGACACTAAAGTGCTCCGACAAAATTTGAGGACTCTAACTGTTATATTATCTCAAATATACGGATTTAATATTTTCTTAATAGGGGCATGGATCCTCGCCCACTTGAAATTTAAAAATAAAAAGTAGTCTTTAACCTCTACCAGACATACAGGAATACGTGAAGTATAACTTTATAGACTACAGCTGAACTGAAATTTTCACAGCGTATTCCTGCATGTCTAGAAGTGGGCGGGGAGCCACGCCCATAGTAAGAAAATATTAAATCCGTATATTTGAGATAATATAACAGTTAGAGTCCTCAAATTTTGTCGGAGCTCTTTAGTGTCAATATGATTATTTAGGATAAAAAGTGGGCGGACTAGCATTAGGAGGCGTGGCACCTCCCATATAACAACACACAGACTCTCAAATGATCCAATAATCGGATGATTAGCTAATAACTGTTTCGTTCAAACGCATCGGAAACCAAACGCATCGGAAAAACAAAGTGGTCAAGATCATAAAGTTTTGCGAAGTTGAAGACTAAGAGAGCGCTTCGGACTCTGGATGTCTTCACAAATATGAACAATATTCTCAGTTGTTTTTCTGGTATTCTTTTGATATTGTCTGATTATTAATATTATAGTTGTGTATAGGGCATTTTATAGTCGTACATTATATATTTTACAAACTTTCGTACTTGTTTTGTTTTTTTTTGTTTTGTTATACTTGTTGTTTTGGCAAAAACAAAAGTTGAACATAAATCTATGCCTGTGTCGCGCCGTATTTTTGTCATTTGCTCTCTAACATTTTGAGATTGTTTTTTTTTTACTATTTTGATTTGTTTCGTTTTCAGTTGACGTTGAATTTAAGAATTGTTGACGAAAGCAACAAACAAATAGAAGGAAAAAAATATGGATTTGTTGTGATTTAATTTTGTTTGTTTGCAATGTGCAATTTTATGTATTAATATTATGCTTAAAAATACACCGAGAGAAAAATCAATGAAAAGTTATTGGGTGTTTAAGACTAACGCAATAAACTGATCACGACTTTAAGGTGTTCAACCTCTCCGTGTTTTTGGACTAGATGTTCTATAACTGTTTACTACATATTTTATAGTCTAAAGATGTTGAAGGGGTTTAACTGATTCCGATTAAGGTCTAGGTCTAAGATTTTCGAACAAAATTTAACGCGCTCTTTTGTGCAATAATGGGCGGATAAGAAATAGTGGGCGTTCATCCCTCATATAAAGTTAGTACCAAAATGTGTACATCTGTGAAACTATAAAATTTGGTTAGTTCAAATTTGGTCCGAACCACAAATATGGGCGGACTAGAGAAAGGGGGCGTGGTACTTTCCATATGAATTAAATACAAAAATTCGTATATCGGGGAAACTGCTAGAGCTGGAAAGCTCAAATTTTGCACAAACTATTTTGACATCCATGTTAGTATTTGCCCAATAAATTGGCGGATCAAGGAGGCATGGTCTCTCCCATAAGAATTAAATAAAAAAATCGTATAACGGGGAAACTATTGGAGCTAGAATACTCAAATTTTGCACGAACAATTTTGACATTCGTGTAAACAATTGTCTAATAAATTGACGGATAACGGGAGCATGGTCCCTCCCATATTAATTAAATATAAAAATTCGTATTCAAATTTGCACCTATTGACAGTCCCGTTATTATGCGCAAATTATTCACATGGATATAATTTGCGCAAAATAACGGGACTAGCAATAGGGGAATGGTACCTCCCATGTGAATTATATTTTCAACAGATCTATAACAGGTTCCACTATAACCTAAGCTACCTTAGTTTTAATGTGTTTTCTATGACATTGAAATGTTAACAAAACAATTGTCTTTTAAATGATGAAATTAATATCAGAGCCAACGTTAGCCGACTAGAGAAATGACAGTAGGTTTTCTCGTAAAATGTAAATATGAAAAATCGTAAAGGGTTTTTATTTATTTTGTTTCTAGGGTAGCGAAGCACACTGAGTATAGCTAGTATTCTATAAAAAACATATTTTAACGAACATTTTTTATAAAAAAAATTAACGTAAATTTTCTGTGACTTGGACAACCTTGATATCCATATGAACATATGGGGATAAAAAGGAAAGAAAATTTAAAATTAATGTATCTGCGTCCTCACATTTTGTCGGAACCACTTTAGTGTCTATATAAATATTGAAGGAAAAAAATGGGCTGACTTGAAAAAGGGGGCGTGGCACCTCCCATATGAATAAAATATACAAATTCGTTTATCTCGAAAACTATAAGAACTAGTATTTTAAAATGTTCAACGAAGAACTTTAATATTCATCTGAATATTTTGGGGGAAATGGGGCGGACTTTCATTAAGGTGAAGACTTTCCACATATGAAGTTAATATAGAAATTTGTATATCTGTGAAACTATTAAAGCTAAAATCCTCAAATTTTGCACAAAATTTGACATTCATTGAACATTTTGATTTTGCAATTTATCTCACTAATTTCTCGACGTGCAGCTGATCTTTAATTTAATATGATAAAATATCATTTACACATTGTTGAGTTTTACAGCTCAGAGCTAATAATGAGACAAAACTAAAAAATTACACCATTTGTAAAATGTTTTTTTTACAATTTTTAAAACAAAAAACATTGTAATAAGCATTTTTGATTGTGATGGCGTAAATTTTGTCAGTTTTATTTAATAATTTTGGGTGTAAATTTGTTGTTGGCAATTTTCCTTTATTATATTTAACAAAATTATGTTGTATTACATATTTTCACTTTTGTCATGCTAAAGTACTTTGAAATTAAAGTAAATTTTGACACTTTTTTGGGTTTAGTAATTGGCTTAATTAGAGTTTGACCATAATATTGGATGTTTTTTTGATTGGTAGTGTTATATAATATTAATTAAATTAAGTTTTTATATAGGACCAGTGGTGCTCGGTCCGCGTTGCAGGCCCATCATTAGGTATCTGGACTCTACACGTAAAGATCCCATCAAATTAAGATAGATAGATAGATAGATAGATAGATAGATAGATAGATAGATAGATAGATAGATAGATAGA